TGTCTTCAGACACATCAGAAAAAGGGCACTACAGATGTTTGTGAGCCACCACGTGGTTGCTGGGAATTGAACTCAAGACCCCTGCCTGGGCTATTTCTGTACTTGCACAGAAATTCCTTTTTTGTTAGTTTTTTGGGTTTTGGGTTTTTTTTGTTGTTGTTGTTGTTTTGGTTTTTATGTTTGTTTTTGATGCTGGAAATAAAACCCAGGGTCTCATGCATAGTAGACAGTGCTCTACCACTGAATTTTATCCTCAGCTCTAGAGCAAAATTCTTTACAGAAGTTATAGCTTAACTCAGTAATCTATTTGACACTTGTGATGACCACACCATATAAAAGGGAATGAATTTACCCAAAGTCTCCAAGATTATAGTTGGAATATAAATCAAGATCCATTTTAGGGAAAGACTTCACCCTGAGTCTTCTCTGAAGATTTCAGGAAGGCCATAGTAAGTAAACTATATATTGTTCTTCTAACAGCATTAGTTCTTCAGGACAAATGGAGTTTTGGTGCAGTTACAAGCAAGCCCAGTTCTCAAAGCTTTACAACAGCAAACATTCATTTCTTAGGCCAGAGAGATGGCTCAATGGGTAAGAGAGGTTGCTGATCCTGTGGAACACCAGAGTTTGGTTCCCAGAACCTAGGTCAAGAGCGTCCCAATTCCCTGGAGCTCTGATTCCAGAGATCTAGCAATCCTTCTGGCTTCCATAGGCACCTGCACTCACAAGGTTATATCCTATATAGAGACATACAAACAAACATATAATTCATTTTTTAACTTTAAAAAGGTTTTCTTGGGGTCTGTGTGTGTGCCTTTAATTCCAACATTCAGGAGGCAGGAGAATTTCTGTGAGTTCAAGAGCAGTCTACTCAATAAAGTGAGTTATAGGACCATATAGAGAAACACTGTGTTGAAAAACAAACTAACAAACAAACAAACAAGATTTTTTCCCCAATATCTTATAACCACAACAGACTAAGTGCTTAGCCTTCATTGGGACCAGCAGTTTTGAGGCAGAAGGAATGACATACCTAGACACTTGCTACATCTAAAACCTTCTGCTAAAGAGTGACCTAGGTTCCTTTCACCATATTTCATGGGTCAAATGACCCAACTTCCACTCTGCTAGGTGAAATGATCATTATTATCAATGATAAGACATACAAGCTACCCAGACACTTGGGGGGGGGGTGTCGGTGTGTGCATTCATGCGTGAGTGTGTGTGTGTGTGTGAGTGTGTATGTGTGTGTACTCATATATCCCAGTCTAGCCTCTTAATATGAAACCAAGACCTGAACTTGTGTTCCTCCAGTCCAGCAGCAGCCTGCAGAGTGCTGGGATTATAGGCACACATCATCTGGTTTAGCTATTTTGCTTGTGTTCTCCATTAATACTTCCTTCTCTGCTGGTATCTAGCTGCTACAAACCTTTCTCTCTCTCTCTCTCTCTCTCTCTCTCTCTCTCTCTCTCTCTCTCTCACACACACACACACACACACACACACACACACATTTGCATATGTTTCTTTCTCCAATACTATAGCTTTCTACCGTTAGGCTTTGCCATCTTTATAGTCAGAAAATAAGTTTCTTCCATTAGCCCACACTAAAATCAAATACTTCCTAGTAGGAATCTTTATGCCTAGGTCATCCACCAGGGGGAGACCTGTATCACCGCTCCTGGAATTCCTACTAGCTGCAGGACCTTTGCCCATTTGAGTCTCTCTTCCTTTGGTGTTTTTGCTCCATGGTCTCACCACATTCCTGCCTATCTAGGAAGTTCATCTCTTACCTGGCTTGGAGAGTTTGAGTCCTGAGGGAGAGGAGTTGCAAGATTTCTGTCCCTGACCTCATGTTCTATCTCAGCAGATTTCAGACCTGGCTCTGACCACCAGGGCTCTAACTAAATTCATGGGTTTCACTCTCTGTGGCATTCTCCACTGGGCAACCCTTAACCAATAAGAGGCAGGAGCCTAGAGCTTCTTCTATTTGTTCTCTGAATGGGCACTTAGGATATAGTTTCTAAATGAATCCCTAGAAGGTCCTGTTTGTGTGAGCTGTGCTCACTCAGACACAGAAACTTGTTCTTGCATTTCTGCCTTCCTCTGTGCTTCATCCTCTGCTCCCTGAATATACTTTACAGCACCCTTGAGCCCAGGCTCTGTTTTTGGGAAATGATAGATCATCCTATCTGAGACCTGGAGGTTCATATCCTGGAACCAAAATCCTTTGCTATCCTGTCAATGTCCTGCTCACATCTTCACGTCCCTTATGTCTTCATCCTGTCCCTGCAAAGTCTGTACCCAGTCCCCTGTTGTGCCCCAGTACAGAACCTGCCCTTGAGGACATAGTGGTCAGTCCATGATAGGGACACAGTGAATGAATAACAGAGGGACCGAATAAAGTTTCTACTCTTTCCTAACTAATGGATATTGGAACTCCAGCCTCAAACATACTTAGCAGCAAGCACATCCACTGAACGGTGTCTCCAGATCTTCTTTTTTTTCTTTAACCCCCTTACCCCTGGTTTGAGAAAGGATGTCAGTTACTCAGGCTGACCTTGAGCTCAATCTGTAGCTTTGAGCTTGACCTCCCTTGGACTGTCCTTGAACTTGTCATCCTCCTGCCTCAGCCTCCCAAGCAGCTGCTGGACCTATAGACCTACCTGAGTTGATTCTTTTTTTTTTTCTAACATTTATTTAGCCGACAGAGGTGGGGAATGTGACCCATGCACCTATGGAGGGAGGTGGTTCTTTACTTCTAGAATACAACTCCTGGAATCAGATTGAGGTCCTGAGGCACTGTAGCAAGGGCCCTAATCCACTAAGCTATTGCTGGCTCTCAGTTTTCTTAGACAAGCTTTTGCTCAGTAGTTCAGGCTGGCTTAGAACTCACTATATAGTTTAGTCTGGCCTCAAACTCACAACAATCTTTCTATCTCAGCCTTCCAAGAGCTCAATGTCTTTCCCATAGAGCAGAATTAAAGAAAAGTAAGAAAGAACTCCCATGGGAGGGTCTCCAAGAGAGAGGCCCTCTTCATGATGAGTCTTGAGGGGCTTCACAGCACCTGTCCCTGATCTCAACTTCTGGTTTTTATCTGTCAGTTGAGCACCCTAGTATCTTTCAGGACTTCAAAACAGTGCCCCATGGCCATCTGCAGGGACCTTCCTGGAACAAGTGGCTACAGAATTGAGGTCACAGGAGGACTTACCCTTTCCTAAGGATGCTGAACACTCAGGTTGTCACTTACATTTTCTATAATCTAAAAACTTGGAGCATTTGAAATCTTATCTGGCCTTTATCAAAAAGCTTTGACTGAGTGGTGGCCAAGCCAGGCAGACAGATCAGTGATGGCCACACAAGAAGCATGACATGAGACTGCAGAAGGCGTGTACACTCTAGTGGGGAGAGCATTACCCACTGGGTAGCAGGTAAGGAATTCACAGGAAGACGTGTCCCTGTGATATCATAGCAGGGGCCGAGACTGGCTGAGCACCAAGTGGAATGAGTTCTAATCATGGCCTCCTACTTCTCTTTTCTTCTTCTTCTTTTTCTTCTTCTTCTTCTTCTTCTTCTTCTTCTCTCTCTCTCTCTCTCTCTCTCTCTCTCTCTCTCTCTCTCTCTCTCTCTCCTTTCCCTTTCCTTCTCTTCCTCCTTCTTCTTTTTTGGTTTGTTTTTTTGAGACAGGGTCTCTCTGTATAGCCCTGGCTGTCCTGGAACTCACTGTGTAGACCAGGCTGGCCTCAAACTTAGAGATCCACCTGCCACTGCCTCCCAAGTGCTGGGATTAAAGGTGTGGACCACCACCCGATAGGTTCCTCTACTTTTAATCTTAACATTAAAAAGTTATCTTAGTGTGTATATATGAACATGGTGATGGGAGAGCACAGTACAAGCACAGAGCTCAAAGGAAAACTGTGTAGAATCAGTTCTCTTTCCCCCTTTACATGAGTTCTAGGATCAAACTTAGGTCTCTAGGCTTGTGTGCTTCCCTCTGAGCCATCTCACCAGCCCTTTGGTTTCTGAATTCTCAGAACCTCAGTGTCTATGACAGTGAATGGGTTGGGGACTTAGGCTCACAGCCTGTGTTGTAAACCTTCAAGCCAAGGAAACCCAATTTCACCTTGTCATTTACTTAATTTTTCCCCCTAGAGATCATTCTTACCTTTACTAGAATTTATCCATGGGGGAGGGGATCTCCGCTGAGATCAGACATAAAATCCAAACAACAAAAATTGGTGCCTAATTGAAGTGTTGCCTCAGGGGCAGAAAGCAATAATGTGTCCAATTAGCATGCCTTTTCGGTATGTAGCATCCCTTGAGTATGTCTCTTTGCTTACACCCTTCCCCAGAAGAGCCATAACCATCAACAAACGAGAAGCCTGAGGCAGACCCGCATGGAACAGCTACTCTGGCATAATGCTGGAATGGTGTCCTGCTCCGCTCCATTCCAGCCCCTGTGTCGTCAGCGCCCCTCCCCCACCTCTCTGAGGTCCGTCTCATTGTATAGTCTAGGCTGGTTCAGAACTCACATCCTTCTGACCCAGCTTTCTAGTCCATCACCACCAAGGCTTTTACTAGAAATGGCTACCTGACTTTGGACAACCCTTAACTACTTTAGTTTCTTGCTTGGTGGTGGTATTAGTGGGGAGATTGTAAAGAGTTATTTGTGATTGCCTCACAGGAGCACAGTTACCGGCGTAGTAAAATGTTATGGTAAATTTGCATAGCCCGGGGTAAATTAGAATACCGCTCCCTCCCACCCCCGCACTTTCACAGCAACGACGGCAGCATCTTTACAGAGTGTGGAGGCATCCCCGGACCTGATCCCCCTTTGGCCTCAGCATTCCATTTGGTGTCTGGATTACTTTTTGGAACTAATCTGCAGAAGTCAGACACTCCCCAAGGCTCCAGGTGACCACTCCTGCTTGACTCCGCCTCACGGAAAGAAGGTGAGGTAGGGGGCGGGGCTGGTGGTGGGGGTCGGCAGGATTGGTGAGTATACTGGTCCTTCTGGTCAGTCCCACACCTGTCACACTCCTATGTGTGGGCCACCTCTGTGACGGGCAACAATGCTGCTGCTACTGCTACTGTTGCTGCTGGGACCTGGACCCCGACTCAGCGAAGGTGAGTGAGGACTGGCTTCACCCAGCCTGGGTCAGCTGCCACACCTCCCTATTTTTTCTCACTGCCCCAACTCAACACCCCTTCCAGCACCCGGAAACCTTAAAATCCCCAGTTTCTTCTTCAGATGCCCACACATCCACCTTCCCAGACGCTCAGGAGTCATGTCTCTGATTCTTTCTAGGGTCCTCCACTCAGGCATTTCACTCAGGAACTCAGAAGGGGGAGAGGGGTAGTATTAGAGTCCTCCCTTCATGAACCCCATAGCTACTGCAGTCCTCTCCAGCAGCCTGAAGCTCCTAGCCCCTGATCCTGAGTCCTGTGAACTGGCTATCACTTCTCTTGCTTGTGGGGTCTGAGGTAAGACTTCCAGGCAGGACTCCGTGGATGGGAGGAACAGGGACAGAAAGTAAACTCGAGAGTTTAGGAGTGGGTGAGGAAATCCCCTTTAGAAAGGCACTTCTTAGTGATTCCCTAGAGTACAGTAAGACATACAGGCACAGAGCCAGCCCTGGCCTTACCTGGGTACGGGGCTGCAGGTGTGAATCTTCTGCCCCTGGACAGGCTCACCCAGATCAACATCTCAGATGCCACAGTTGCTCCAAGCAGCACATGCTGAGTAGTACAGCTCAGAGATGCCTATGACGACCCACACTGGGCGTACACCTTGGGCTTTTACAATGCCCTGTGGGTCCTGGCACTGCCATTGGAGGTTGCCCACAGGTAGACAGAGCAAACAGACCCCAGCCTGACCTGCCCCACCTATGTTGGCACAAAGGGAGTGTTTTCTTTGGTTCCAAACTTAGTGCTGCTGTGCGTCCCTCACCAGGGCCCTTCACGGGCTGTTTCAGCCTCTGTGAGAGCAGAGCAGCTGTGGGTGGGGAAGGGGAGCCCTGCAGATGGTTTCAGGGTAGGGTGTTGGGAGTGGTTAGGCTAGGTGTGCCTCACCTGGTGGCTCCTGAGGTCAACAGACCTTTCCTAGAAGCCTTTCTGTGTGCCAGAGCTACTTGAGTCAGATCTGTTCTGGAAGAGCACCCAAGCTAGAAGGGCACCCCCATAAATAGGCAGCAGCATTGGCCACTGGCAGAGTAAGGCAGCAGGGAGCAGGCTGAAGAGAAGGCAGGGGCAGTAGTGTGATGGCCTGACTGGAAGGAGAGCTGGGTTCTGGGGAGGTAGGAAGGCTTGGGGATCCAGCTTGGGATCTCCACTGGGGCTTAGGGTACAGTGGAGCTGTACCCCAAATCCATGGACACACTTTCAGTCCCATCATTCAGGAGGCTGAAGCAGGAGGATCTCTGTGAGCTTGAGGCCACCTCATCCACAGAACACATTCTAGGACAGCTACACAGAAAAACTCTGTCTTGAAAAAGCAAAAAAAAAAAAAAAAAAAAAAAAAAA